AAATTATTTAGCACTTTTAATTTAGAAGAATTGTACTCCTCTCGACCAATAAAAAAGTATTATTTTGTTGAATGTAATTTTAAGTGTGGAATCAAATAGATACAAAATAAAACAATGTAATTGAAGCTTACTAAGGWGTATTAGTGTAATATTTATTTCACGGTTTTTTTGACTTCACTCTAATCAACACTGTTTTAGTAGCAATTAGTAATGTCTGTTTCATAGATTTTTAGAGAGAAATATGTGGAATATATTTGATAAGTATTGGAAGATATTTTCCGTTTTTACAATCCTCAGTTCGGGAGAACGTGAAAGTCTTGTGACAGAACAAAAGAAAGGTTTGGAATCACGAGCTGGCTCATCAAAAAAAGACCATGTTGGAACTTGTTTCGCTAACAAGTTTTTATATTTTTGGGTATTAAAAAAGCAAATTTCTGAGAGAAGGTCCTTACTGATGGCAATGATTGCAACAGATTGCAATGCATGACTTCAAATTTATTGCTTTTGAATTTTCATTTTATTGAAGATATGTGTGATAATGTCATACATTTCCGTTTTATTGCTTAATGTCCATGTTGTAGAGATATTCGAGGTTCTTTGGAGAATACTAGTTTCTTATCTATAACCATTATACTCGTTTGAGGTGGCGCAATTAACAGTGACAGCGTGTGACTTTTGTTATCAATCATTTTGAGATTCAGATGGGCAGTATCCTTGCCTGAAGCCAACCTCATCTATTGCAATGTCTCCTGAATAATTTTTACCAATAACTCCCTCGATGACCACCTGCAAAGAAATTCATCATTACTTTGAATGCTATTTTTATGTACCAAGTTGTACTAAATTTGTTATACGTTTATGAACAAAACATAAATACATACAGCTTATAAAACGTATGGAATAGTACGCGCACTTTGATTGGTCGACAATCGCGAGTACACGCACGAATGGACTTTATTGAGTATTTTGAGCCATCTGATTGGTAGGTAAATGCGAATTGAAGTATTCGTTCATCCATTTCAATGAAATTTCACKCTTCCAGGAAAAGCATCATAAGATGAAYATTTTATGTCAAAAAATAATAATTCAAATAAATGAATTAAATTCCATTTTTTTACGTGCGTATGTACGCGTATGTACGTTTCCATTTTTGTTGTTATCACTTTTTGACGTCATCTGTTTATCTCTTGGACTGTGGAAGACGCCCGCAAAAATGAAATCTATAAGGATTGAATTAATGTTATTTTTATTTTATCAGCTCATCAAACTTATAATAGTATCATAATAAAAGAAAAAAAACATCAAACGCCAGAAAAACAACAATAACAACAACAAAAATATATTAAAACAACAACGACAACAACAAGCAAACCAACTAAAAATATCCAAAGGGTTAAACGCGAAAGGGCACCCTCTGCGAGCTGTTTCCAGGCTAAAACAATAATAAAAAATAATATCAATATCTATGGCAGGCCCAGTCACGGCATAGCGACCACGTACAAGCAAAGTTGATTTCTGAAAAAAACCTTCTTGAAGCACTTAATCCTAGTCTCTTTTAACAGC